TTACAGACTAACATGTGTTCAAGATACCCACACTCTCATGTATAATCAAAATGTCCACAGTCGTGTGGAATCATCCTTTGAACCATTGATCCCAAGACTTCAGTCTAGGGACAGCTGCTTGGTAAAGTCTATAATAAAGTCTTGAAATCATTACTTTTAAAAAGCCCTCCAAGTGATAAAATGCAAACAGATTTGGAAACCACTGCTCTAAAGTAAAATACATCCTTGAGATGCATGCCTTTCCCATAAAAACATCCTCTGATGGAGTGGTATAATTTACTCTGCATTCCAAATGCCACTTGTCTCTGTCTACTGGACAGTATGCATGAAAAATTTTAAAAGAACTTAGAAATTCCTAATTAAACATAACATACTTCTATTATTCTCAATAATACTTTTTTATCTTAGAATTTAGTGTAATTTTTACATCATTCTTTATTATCAGTGGGCTCATTATACCAAGGCCCATAGACCTAAAGATCTGGATATAATTATTCTGGACTACTCTCATTCTGGGTTAGAGAAAGTTCCCCTAAAGATAGACAGCCACAGGTGTTTCCTGAAATAAGGCTTAACTGGAACCTGAGTTAAAGGTACAACTCCAGTTTTGAGTATCTCTGATCTTATTCATTCTTTTAGACAATTATAAAATACCATCTATGTTTCAAGCACTCTATAGCCTACACCAGAGATAGGAGAATAAGATTTAGTCCTTGACCTTGAGGAGTTCCCATACTACCCTAGAGACACTTATTACAACAGATATATTTGCTATTATTGGACATGCAGAGATGGAGTGAGTCAAGCCTTCAAGAGGAGTGGGTGGAAGGGTGCTGGAAACCAAGAAAATAACACTAATGCATCACATGAGACTAGTCACTGCTGCCCTTGTCCAGCAGCCATGCCAGGAATATCTAACTTTGGAGCAGATTATCTGCACTCTTCTAAAGCTTAACTCATTATCCATTCCTCCAGAACAAAAAACCTGCTTCTCTGCATACATTCCTAGATTGGTGACTGGTACCCCTCATTTATACTGCCTCCCCAGCCAGAAACTGAAGGCATCCTAGTCGTCTTCACTCCCTGTGGCCAGCCAGTAATCAGGGAACTATCAATTCAATCTCTGCAGCTTCTCCTCTGTCTGTCACCTCTAAGTGCTACTAATATTCCTGTCTTCATCCTGGACGCTGCAGTAGTCTCCCAACTGGCCAATCTCATCATCTTGAGACTTGCCTCTTTCTAATCTACTCTCCCTATATCAGTTCAAATATAGGAGTGGCTCTACTGACTGCCTCAGTGTTATGTATAGGGTAAGAGTGCTAAGGCTTAAGCCAGACTGTTTGGATTCAGATCCTGGCTCCACCACTTACTAGCTGTCTAGAGCAAGGCATTTAGCCTTTCAGTGTCTTGGTTTCCTCAACTGTCAAGTAGTGAAGGAAATGGAATCTCTGTCCGAGGGTTATTGTGAGGGTTGATTGGATTAATACTGTACATATAAAGTTAATACTGAACATATAAAGTGCTTAACAGTGTCTAGCACAAAATGAACCCACAGTGGTGGTAACAACCATGGTGCAGTAACCTAGTGTACATACCAGGTAAATAAAGACAACCAGGACTCATCTGGCCATCCAGGAATTAAAAGTCTGAAGTCGGGAAAGAAAAACAAATAGGTAAATTACTTCTTTTGATCAATGCTGTTGTAAATTTGAGCGTGATGCTAAATGATTAAGGAGTCAGAGAGAACACTAAAATCTTGTCCAAAATGTTCTATTAACATTTCTATTTTTCTGGGAGTGCCTGGGTGGCTCATTTGGTTGAGCATCCAAGTCTTGGTGTTGGCTCAGGTCATAACCTCAGGGTCGTGATATCAAGCCCCAAGTGGGGCTCCACTTTCAGCATGGAGTCTGCTTAAAGTTTCTCTCTCCCTCTCTGACCCTCCTCCCTGTACACACACTCGCTATCTCCCTCTCTCAAATAAATATCTTCAAAAAAATTTTTTCTGGATTACATAGTACCTTGAGTTCCCAAAACAACTTAGTACCCCCTAAACCACAAGTTCCTCATACATGAAATTTGTATATTTATGATTTTGTTCCTGTATGCCTTTACCGTAACCATAAGAGTTTGGTTCTAGTGTGTGTGAACTTTAAGTTTCATTCTCTTAGGAATAATTTGAAGAAAGAGAACTGTGCATTGAACATACAAAAAGGGGGAGAAATGAACCACAGAATATTAGAGAGTTTGTAGTGAAACCCCAGAAAAGCATACCGACAATGACAGAGATAAACTGTACCCAGTGGCTCTTGGAGGATGTGGACTACTGAGTTTTTTTGGTGAAAGTAGTACCAGGGAGACTTCAGGACTCTGTAATCAGGGCAGATTACACAGAAATTAAGTGTGGCTTGTAAATACATAGGAATTCAAAATAGCACCGAATCGACACATTAAAGAAAAACACATTTGGGGAAATACCTTTTGGAACTGGAGGCAGAATAATGTAGTATTTGAACTTAGGCTTAACTTACTTATTTAGGCCCCTTGATTTAACTTTCCTAAGTCTCAGCAGTCTCATCTGGAAGACTTTCTCTTAGTAATAGTACTAACTGAGAAAGGTGGCTATGATTGAGCAAGTGCCTTGAAGCCCTTTGCTGGTAATTTACAAATATCAAATACCTAGTAATGTTCGTTCTTGCTATTGGTGATGGCTAATACTGTTGTTTTCTGAAGTCAGGCAAAATGAATTCATACATACATCATTCAGATTTGGGGAGAAGAGTGTAGGACAGTACCTGTTATTTTCTAGATGGCAGGCAATGTTTACCAAAGGTACCTTTATTTAGAATATATGTTGTCTTTTGTTCTAGTAAATGTAAAATATAGATTCATAAGAGTATTGCCTCTCTTTCCCCATCCTATTTTTAACATGAGGGTTTAACTTCCCACAGAATTTTTTCTTAAGATTTTATTTATTTATTCATGAGAGATACAGAGAGAGAGAGAGGCAGAGACCCAGGCAGAGGGAGAAGCAGGCTCCATGCAGGGAGCCCAAAGTGGGACAAATTCCTGGGACCCAGGATAACAGAGGATCCTGGGGTCAGAGGATCAGGATCACACCCTGAGCCAAAGGCAGATGCTCAACCGCTGAACCACCCAGGCATCTCGAATTTCCCACAGAATTTAACCTACAAGTGAAAAACTATAGAACTCCTTGGTTCCATTGTATAATTTAATGAATGTAAAAGTTGATAACACATCACTTTTGTTAATAGTGCTTCTAGAAGTGCTTGTATTTTAAATATTCTCTCCCTTGTCATATATACTCTATCTCACCTTTTCTGGTATTAAATAATTTTATGGAACTAAGATAAAAGTTTAATTCAGCATACTTTAATATGAGCAGAGTATTATGAGCGATGTACTAGAGGACATGTCCTTTGGGACACTTTCTCACTCCAGCTCAGTTACATGACTCTCCTGTCCCCATGTTCCCACAAACCCTATACATTCTATCTCTCTTTATCCTTTCAATTTATTTGTGCTGTCAAGCAGGTTGCAGGCACCTTAGCCTTGATAATAAGGACCCTGTTATGCAACATTAAGCAGAAAAAACTAGCACTCAGTAGCTACTCAGCTGCTTTTTGTGGAGTGAATGAATGCTTATCCAGTGTTGAGGCCATGGTCAGCAGCACCCCAGTGACTGATTCCATGAACTAGGCAATTAAGAAGGTCTTTAGAAATGAGGTAAGGTAAGATTAAAACAAGAAATAAAGTTAGTAGGAAGCTAATTCCAAAGACTTTTCTGCGGAATACCTGTCTTTTTTTTTTTTTTAAGATTTATTTATTTTATTTTAGAGAATGAAAAAGAGAGAATGGAGGGAAGGGGCTGGAGGTATAGGGAGAGATAGTCTTAAGCTGACTCCACACTGAGCCCAGATTGAGACTTGGGACTTGACCTTACGACCTTGAGATCATGACCCTGACTGAGATCTGGACCTGTGCTGACACCAAAAGGTGAACACTTAACCTACTGCACTACCCAGACACCCCAGAATAGCTGTCTTTCTTTATGAAGAAGATTCCCTATCCTTCCTCAGATACTACATGTTTTATCATAGTTGCCTAGTTACTAACTACTCAGTAGCTTGCATAAGGTGACAGGTCTAGCCTTCTCCCCTGAAAGACTAAAGAGGGCTCCTGACACAACTGGGTATGGTTTAAAACCTGGATTCAGACCTATAGACCTTATACAGCTCAACTCTTATAGATACCATAGGTGATGTTAGGAAAATGAAAGTTTAGGCAGGAAAAATGTTTACGATGTATGTCTAGTAATCGAACATTCATCTCTTTTTCACAAGGACTTAAATTATGGTACATAATTGTGTAACAAGCAAATGGTAGACATAAATCAACATTAAAAATTGCCACCTGGGCCACCAGCACATGCTGTGTCAACCCAGTGTGAGAGCTATCTTCCTTGCACATGACAAATAATCAGAAGCAGGAAAAGAGTTTGCAGGTGCAACAGGAAGCAGCTTAAAACACTGGCGTGGTATCATCTGGAGCCTCAGTATATACCATTTACTTCCCATAGTGTGATGACCATCAACCATAGGTCACAATCAGGCCATAGAACCTTAACCCAGCATGTTGCAGCCATCCCCCTACAAGTACCCCCGGAATTGCTGCCATTGGCCAATGTCCAAGAATGCTTGAACAGCTGCTCTGACAAATGGGTTTCCCCCATTCAAGCCGGCAAATGGGGAGTTTGAGCAGCTTTGCAACACTCCCTGCCTCTAGGTTGCAGAATCTATTTAAAATGATAATAAAGTATCCTGCTCTCTGACACTGTATTTTTCATTTTGGAAATAAGTAAATATCATTAGAATCCTTTTAATGCAGGAGATGAGAAATGATCCTAAAGAGTTGATTTCAGCTTTTCCTTTTGCTTTTTTTTTTCCCTCCCCGCTTTTGCTTTTGCTTTTTCTCTCTCTCAGACAGTAAGGATTGTATCCTGGAGCCGCTTTCCCTGCCAGAAAGTCCAGGTGGCACCACCGCTTTAGAAGGTTCTCCATCTGTGCCTTGTATTTTCTGTGAAGAACATTTTCCTATGGATGAACAAGACAAACTTCTGAAGCACATGATTATTGAACATAAGATGGTCATAGCTGATGTCAAGTTGGTTGCTGATTTCCAAAGGTAAATTTTGTTTTTTACCATAAATGAATTAAATCCAGTATTCCACAAAGGAAAGGCATAACTTATATTTGTTTATAAATAAAATTATTCCTATGCAAATAGGAAAACTCATATTCTTTTTCAAGCATTGTTGAGAATGGAGATCTTTAGTTGGAGCTGATCAAGCCAGAAGGGTATTGTCCAGAGAATTCTCAGTTTAAGTGCTGTGATGAGATTGAGAATCAGGGGGGGGGGGGGGAAAGTCATTCAAAAACCAAAGGGGTATAAGAGTAGACAGTTGTTGAGGTCACTGTATGAGGTACTAAGAGGAAGGAGATGAGGAGGATGAAGAGCAGATAGATAGAGGCGAATGGTTGCAGAACTGCCAACAGTGGGCATGTGTGAAATGTAGGAACTTCACCTACATAGCCAGGACTCAGAGTGAGCTAAACTCCAGTTTATGAGCACCTGACTTAGAATATCCACACCAATCCTTATTACCAGTTGTAATATAAGCAATTATTTATTTTTTTCCAATTTCTAATTGCTGGAACTGATTGTTCAACAGAAATACCTCTTTTTTCCAGTGTAATATCTTCTTCCCTTTTTTTAATTTAAATTCAATTAGCCAACAAAGAAATGCCTTTTCATAAGCAGATGGAGTGAAGTAGTTATGTTCATGTTGTTGTTAGTTGACACTTGGAAGCATTTTCCATACCCACAATAGCATGGTAATTATCTGGCTTTGTATAGTTACCAAAAGCTCGCGTTTTGGTGTATCTGGCCAGGACCCATTTTGCAATATTCTGCCCCGATTTCCCTACAAAATATTGCAGTAGCCCAGATGTTATGGTATCTCTGCATCTAAACTCTGTGTCTGCCAGACCACATCATTCCTAGCACGCAACATCTTTTTTATGATGGGTCTTGTAGAGCAACAAGCTATATTACTAAAAGCGGATTGTGAAACCAGGCAGGCATAGGGTTGAATGCAGACTTGGTGACTTCCTCACCATGTGACTTGTAACAAATTACTTAAACCACTTTAAGCAGCAGTTTCCTCATCAGTAAAAGAGGATAACAGCAACTCAAATAAGATTGTTGAGTATTATGTAAAACAGGATATGTGTGGCACCAGCCAGTGCCTGGGACATCTTTTATTTTTATTTTTATTTTTTCTGAGACATCTTTTAAATCCACCAGATGGTAGACAAAAATTTTATTATATTTTGATTACAAAAGATATATTTGAAATCATAGTTTTCTGTAACTGAGTTTTCTATAGAGGTATTTATGCTGGTTTGGAAACCTAGTTATCATTTGTAAACTATAACTTTGGAGAAAATTTAATTTAGGATCCTAAATACTCTAAACTTCAAGAATGAGTGTTTTCTTTTTTAAGTTGTAATAGCCAGGATGCCTACAGGAGTAATATTAGCTATTCTCTAACTCTTCATCTTCCTCTCAACTGCCTAGCACTGATACAGAATGTCTCTGGTGCTTTCTGTATTATTATGGCCCCTTAAATCCACTCAGCATTGCGATTTTTGAGTAGATTTTGGTGTCGCCTGATTAAGCAGAGATAGAACACAATGGTAAAGGACAGTTATATGAGTGATATATGCCACCAGCTGGTAGAATAAACTAATTATTACATAATTGCAGAGGAAGCACTTAATATTTCTCATTTTCATTCCTTGGTCTTTATTTTCAGTTAAAGTATTTATGCCTGTGTGTGTGTGCGTATGTGTGTGTATGTGTGTGTGTGCATGTGTGTGTTTGGGAAGTATTCTGGGAGCTTCATCATGTATGATTTCTAGTTATATGTAGTCAGGTCTGTTGGTTTTGTTTTAGATACTTTTTAGTCTAGAGATCTTCAAATTCTTATCAAGTAACTATTGACAGGACTATCAAATGAGATATTCTTTTATAAGTTGTATCACTCAGCTTTTCTTTGATGTAAATATCTTCTTTATTTTCTTTTATTCTGCTTTGTCATGTAAATGCAAATTGTCCCTCGGGAATTGGAGAAAAATATGATCTACCAGTGATAATTGAGTAACATTGATATTTTCTTTCTCCTAAAATCTGTGAGGAGTATCTAGAGTTTGTATTTTCCCTTTGTGCTTATGTATGATAGCTAAGTAGCTATATTTTTACAAATCTGTCTTTTGTATGATTGATATTAATCCCATCTGCATGTGGGCAAGAAAATCAAATTATTTACTAGGTCTCAGACTTAGGAGTCAATCATTAAATGTTGGAATCGATCACCCTCTAAATGTAGTTATGTAATAAAATGGGTGCTTTAATTTAAAAGAGAAAGAACATAGCTGATATATATAAGTGCTTTCTAAATAAAGTGTGTGGTTAACATGTACTTTAAATTTGGAAACCTAAATTTTCCTTGTCAACTGTCCTCCCAATAAGCTTTACTCTGGTGGTTCATTCAAATTGACCAAGAATGTATGTGAATAAACTCTTGCTTTTAAATGCTTTTTGATATATCCAGTCTCCTTTAGATAATATCTGTCTACTATTTAGGGAAACTAAAAATTCCTCTCTCGAACAATACAAACATTGACTGTTTGTGAGAGTTAAGTTGCAATCTTCTCAACGTTTTATGACTTTTTCTTCAGAAAAATTGTGGGAGTGGGTGTATGTGTATATATTTACATGGATATGTGGGTAGATAGATATTTACATGGATATGTGGATAGACAGATAGATGTATGTATGTATACATATGTAACTTCTCAGAGAGGAATTGTTTCTTCTGAGTACAGTAAGTAATAAAGATGATAAATAATAGATGAGATAGACTTACTTTGTGCTTTACTGGAAAAATTGTGCTGTAAATTTTCATATAAATATATTTAACATTTTCTTTATTGGAAAAAAGCTAACAGTAAAACTTTCTCAGACAGAATAAAACAAAACTAAAAATCTTTCCTTCGAGCCATTTAACATAGTTTTTTATACTGAACCATTTCTAGCTTTATTCAGTAAATAAATTTTTTCCAGAAGATAAATGCTAACTCCTTAATTCTTGCCCCTTTCTATATTAAATTCCACTCATTCAGTGCTACTTAATTAACAGCCATATCTCAAATCTTTATACCTCTGTCAGTAAGGCACCAATTACAGTGAGGGACTGAGCAGGCAAGATTACTAGAAGGATTTTTTTTGGGAGACAATTCTGTGAAACATTAAAATTCTTTCAAAAGAAAAAAGTATTTGCTGATGACCTAATAACTACTCTTACGGCTTTTTAGCAAAGTACGAGATGCCTTGATAACTATCCTCCAAATAAAGAATTCATACTGCATGTCATTTCTTGGCTACCTTTAAATATTGAGTGACTGCAGTTGTAGCTTCAAATAAGCCAGAGAAGTAAGAAAACATGAAAAAAATGGTCCCTTAACATTGAATAGCCCCCACATGGTCTTCAGTAGAGTGGTAATCAGGAGTGAGGAACCTCTCCATTGTATATTGTAGGAGTAGCCATGATAAAACTCCCTGTGAAACTTGACTGTCCTGGTTTTTGTTTAAGTCTGTTATCTCAGCACCCAGTTTTGCTGTATGAATTTGATTAGTCATGAAAATAGATGGCTGTGTAGTACAGTTTGGAAGAACAATCCAATTTCTATTCCTGACATCTCTAATAGAGGTTCTCCTGTGTTCCTTCATCCCTTGCACCACTTTGCAGTAGAAAATATACTGAAGGGAGAATAAGAAAAGTGGCTAGGAATGTCATTTTTGTTTTCTTAAGTCTTCTCTTGCCTTTTATTTCTCCCTTTTTCTCTCTCCCCTGGTCTGGGAATAAGTAATGGAGAATGGAAATGGAGAATAAGAGTAGCTCTGTAAGATACTGAGAACTGGATGGTGCTGTCACTGCCCTAGGTGACCAAAGAATAATATTTCTGCCCTTTATAGATACTTTTCTTCTTTTTGTGCACATTAATGGATCTGTCATGCACTTGCCTCCTGTATCTGACACTTCCAATATGGAAGCCAACAAGCTAGCCATAGTGTCCATATTTATCGTTTGAGGCTAAGCTGGATGCAGCCTCAGATCATCATTTTCAGATCTCTTAAGATAAGGTCTTGCACTGTCCTATAAGGAAAGCGTTCTCCCCTCACATAATCATCCAGGTCAACAGTGTGGTTGTACATGAGAAGAAAGAACTAAAACATGATTTTATTTTCATTCATTATTCCTTTACTTCTTTTCCTTATATGTTCTATATTCGGTGTTTTCATATTTATATTTTTAACTGTCACAGTTCTCTTTCTCTCAAACCTCTCCCAGCACATAATTTTTTTTTTCAAATACATGAATGCTCTTTCTGTAAAGCACCATGGGGTTGGGACATTAATGTTCAGACAAAGGGGGAGAAATATAAAAAGGAGACAAAATAGTGCGAGTTGAGGGCTACTTAGAGAAACTTACAGGAATCTTTAAATGCTCTTCTATCTTTTAAAACCATTTCTTGTTAACCTACTATGTACAGAACATTGCTAGTTGCTATATCAAACCATTTAAAATGTCCAAATTTTTACAATCTATCACTAAATCTATTTCAGTAAGTTCCATCCCTTCCAGGGATTTTTCTTTTTCTGTTGTAAGTTTTTTGGTTGTTTTTTATCAACCATATAGCTTGATAAACTGTCAGCTATGGAGTCAGCCTTTCCATGTTCCTTCTCCCCATGAAAGAGGCTACCTTCTCTTCTTGGTACCATTTGATAAATGAGATGCAGTTGCCAATGTAAATCGTGTTAGATAAATGGGAAGATGAACAGGTTGTTAAACCGTTTCATCTTGCTCCTTCTTTCCTCAGGCAGTGCAGGTCTGGGTGTTACACTTTGCTGGGTGCTTCTTCTAACTCTGCTTATTAGGTACAAGAATTGTAAGCTTGGCCATTTTTCCAAAAATCTGCCTTGTTTCAGATACAATGTGCACATGCAAAATTTTTCTATCTTGTCTTAGAGGTATTTAATTTAGGCTAACCTCTCATTGCATTATTTCTTTTGCCTTCAGTTCTTTTTATGTATAAGATAACCACCCAACTTTCAATTTCTTGGAAATGTGTGATAAAGCCTATTTAATCATTGTTGCATTTTAAATTCACATAAACTTAGATGTGATTTCTAAAACCTTCATTATCACATAAAAATAATTCATTTTAACTTTCCCATATGCCTATTTATTGAATTTGGGGATAGTAAAGTTTAATCACGTCCATGCCTTTACAGAGTAATTTCATTTCATTAAATATTTATTTCATATTTCTAAATGCGCTACTGCCTTTCCATTTGTAAATTTTCTAGCAGTTATCAGTCAACATTTGATTTATTGTTTTGGGATAATTAAATGGTCTTATAAAACCCTGTCACTCTACAGTAAGTAGTATATTGTCTTCTTACCGTCTTTTCTGTTTGATTATTCTAAGGTACATTTTATATTGGAGGAAAAGGTTCACTGAACAGCCCATTACAGATTTTTGTAGTGTGATAAGAATCAATTCCACAGCTCCCCTTGGTAAGTATACATCTTAGCTACCATCTTTTCCCTACAATCCAAAAATTCAAAGGAATAATCATACTTTCTTAAATTAGAATTCTCTCACTTTCATGATACCTAAAATTAAATTGCCCTGTTTATGTTGCCTAACTTCAATAAAGCTAAAACAGTACTGTATACCAGAAGAGACATCCTAATGGTCATACATATATGTATGTTTTTTAAAGGAATAAATTCTTCTGTAAAAAAATGATAAATATCATTTCTCCTTTATTTTCCTAATCTCTCAACAGAAGAACAAGACAATTACTTTTTGTTATGTGATGTTTTACCAGAAGATAGACTACTTAGAGAAGAACTTCAGAAACAGAGACTGGTAAGAATGGTTTTAGATGATAAACAATGTTGGAAATATATGCAAAATCATTTTTGTTATTCTTTTTTGTTTGTTTTCACTTTTTAATCTGTAAACTTTCAAACATACACAAAAGAGATAATACATAAAAATCTTAAAACAGAAGGAAAGTATACACTTGATTGAAGATTAAAGCGTTTCATGTTAAAAATGCAGTGAGAATTTTTGGCTTTGTTTTTCTTCCTGGATTATCTCTAAAATAACAACAGAGCTTACACATTTAGTGTAATTTTAGCTGCCTGGCACATGCTAGGGTTCAGCAGTCGTGGAAAAATGCCCTCAGCTAAAATTGAGTTGAATTAATTAACTTTTTTTTTTTCCTCCTCTTCACTGGAATGTGCTATGCACTAGCACTTCTTTTATTCTCCTTTATGAATTAAGCATATGGTTTGATCATAGTAGCCTTTCTCACTTTCAACTTTAACCATAGCAAGCTAATTTGAAAATCTCAGCATTTTTGGTCTTTAAAAAAGTAACAACATATACAAGTGTGAAAATTTTTATTTTCCTAAGTTGAACAGAAATTGGTTCATTTTTTTTAAAGTATGCAGTTTTCCATTATTTGTGATTTAGCCTCAACAATTACTTGAAAATAACTTGTTCCTCCTTTGGTGATTACCTGGAAGTGTTCCTTGTGTCTTTGGATTTGGCTAGTGTTATGACAGAGAGCTGTGATTTCAGTGTTTCTGCTAAATCCTCAAGGCATCTAAGAAAATAAATTCTATCATAGTCATAGGATTTAAGAAAAAGTCTCCTGAAGCACATTATATTCTGTAAACATCCCATATGATTATTTCTCACATAGGAAGAAACGATATGGTTGGATTTTGATTTATATGTCAAAAAAAGTATGCTTTTACTGTGGCAACAAACCCAGTAAGTAAACAGGACTTCTTAAGTCTTTCTTCTTTCCCTATTGTAATGTCTTAAGAAATCTGCAAACAAGGATGAATTTGTTTACTTGTACTTACTCATAATTTTTTATTGCTTTGAGTTTTTTCTCAGTTACAGTGGCTTAATCAAGAATGATCAAACTGAACTATTCCTGGTACCTCCAAGGATTTCTTTATATCAAACTACTGTTTCAGCCATTGCTAGTGCTCTGTACACAAAATCTACTATGTATCTGCAGATAGATTCAGTTCCTAGAAATAATAGATGTATAAAATTTAGGTGACCTTTTAAGATTCTGACACCAGTTTCAACATGTTTTTCCCCCCAAGCCACTAAGCAATTCTCCAGCACCAGCTGGATGTCCTACAATTCAACTCAATTCTAATGCTATCTGCCCAGAGATATTATCAGATTCCACAGATTGAGGGCTCAGTCCCACAAAACTGTCCACCACTTTAAATGACAATTTCAAGTCCAGGTTGTTACCTCTGCTTCTGACCCACTGACAATAAATCAGAGGTTTCCATGATCCCCTCGCCCTGACCTTAGGTTTGATTAATTTGCCAAGCAAATTCCTCTAGGAAACCAGTTTACTGTCTACATTACCAGTTTATTTACAAAGGATATCCAAGAATATGCGTAAATAGCCAGATGAAGAGATACATGCATGGGATGAGATCTCAAGCAAAGGAGCTTCTGTCCCTACAGAGTTTGGGGCCCAGTAAGACAGCACATGGACCCTTTCTGATTCATCAGCCTGGAAGCTCTCCAAACCTTGTCTTAGTGGGTTTTTTGTGGAGGCTTCATTACTTACACATGACTGATTAATTCATTGACCTTTGATGATTGAACTCAATCTCCATCCTCTTTCTCCTCCTAGACAGGAAGGAGGGCTGCTGAAAATGCTTACCCTCTCATCACATGGTTGGCTCCACTGGCAACCATCCCTCATCCTTCGGTTACTTGTGTGCTTTTCAAAAGTCAACTCATTAACATTCAAAAAAATACTTTTCTATAGCTCTGGACACTTAGGACTTTAGGAGCTATGTACAAGGACAAAGACCAAATATGTGTTTCTTATTAAATCACATCACACCTTCTTACCAACTTTATAGTCTGACTAAGTGATAGTGTTAGGGCAGCTAAACAAAGTGTGAAATTATAGTCAGTTCATATATACATATATATTTGTTGAATTCCTGCTTAACTAGATAATCATACAAAGGAAAAAATGCAAGGCATGGTTCATGTCATAAAAGAGCATAAAGTCTAGAGAAAAAAGGCAAATATGTTCTTATCTCAGTACTAGCAATGATAGAATATCTTGTAGGGCTTGTGAAGATTAAGTAGATACTGCATATAATATACTTAGAACAGTATCTGCCACATAGAAAGCACTCAATAAATATTGCAGACAAATGACAATAATAATACTAGGTCTTAAACTATGAAATGGGTTTGGGCAATTGGAGAGTTGTGAAAATGGGAGGAAAAATGCATGTGGACCTAAGTAAGTATTCAAGATGTCAGGAAAGTTGATTAAATCCAATCTGGCTAAGGTAGAAAGATTTGTGGAGGAGGAGTATGAGATGGATTTAATGATATGAGATGGAGCTGAGTTGTAGAAATCCTTCAGTGCCAAGAATATTGACTTGGTAGTGAAGACCCATCGATGTCTCATCATTGTCTATGGGAGTGAAGAGGAGAAAAGATGATAAGTTCAGCTATGTAAAAATCCACTTAAAGCTGACAAACTCGGGACGCCTGGGTGGCTCAGCAGTTGAGCATCTGCCTTTGGCTCAGGTCATGATCCTGGAGTCCCAGGTTCGAGTCCCACATCGGCCTCCCTGCATGGAGCCTCCCTCTCCTTCTGCCTATGTATCTGCCTCTGTGTGTCTCTCACGAATAAATAAAATCTTTAAAATGAAAAAAAAAAAAAAACTGACAAACTGGCAAAGAGCAGACCAACATGGAGATATGGAAAGAAGCTGACAATTACTAAGTGCCAGCCATATGCCTTGCCTTGCCTTAGGTCCTTGCATTATGTCAACCACATGCAGTAGCTATTAAACGCTGTTCTGTTCATGAGGGAACTGTGTCATAGAAAGACTAATTTTCCCAGGACCACATAGTGAACAAGAAGCAGAGATGGGACTTTAAACCAAATGTGCTTGATGTGTGCCTTTTTAAGGAGCGCCATGCCAGTCTACTAGTAATTTATTCTGCTTCCCATACACCTTCCTCTTATTCTGGGAACAGCTCTGTCATGGACGCTCATAGTCTGACAGGTCTGTGTAAGTAGGGAAGGGATTCAGGCTAGGATTGGAGTTAAGGGAAAGCAGAGGAGATTTACAATAGGCTACCTCTGGGAATCATGGCTAGAGAATCATTAAGAAAAGATTTGCCAAGTAGCAGAAAGCTGGGTTGAATTTACAGTTAGCCATTTCATCACAATTTTGTGCCCTATAGTTATGAAAGCATGAAGATAGTGTAGGTGATCTTCCTTTGGAAGTTTGGGACGATGACAGAGTAGCTCTCTTTTATGTATAATGAGCTCTACTTACCAGGAACAAGCATTTCCGAAAAGAAGTCCCTATGATCAAGTGGAACAACTTTGAGCAAAAGTAGTAATACACCTTTTTTCTTCCATTAAGTACAAGAACTTTTTCAGCCCCTTTTAAGAATATGAATTGCTATGCCATTCCTGAAAGGTGCTTTGTGTAGGTTGTCGTGTATTGGAACTCTTGAAGAGATTTTATGCCCTTGGTCCTTATTCGCCTTCTAAGAACTCCTTCCAAGAATCATACACGCAGAGGGTTAAGTCACTCATTCTGCCACAGCTTGGTAGTTTTTTCTTTGTTTGTTATTGGTTGTATTTTATCAAACGGTTTCTCTTCATTCATCAGAGTTTAAATCTAGCTTCTGGAAAATGTAATTTAAACCAATTAAGTTGCGGCGAGATGGAGTAACTGGGTGACGGGCACTAAGGAGGGCTCTTGATGGGATGAGCATTGGGTGTTATACTATATGTTGGCAAATTGAATTCAAATTAAAAAAATTTAATTGATTAAAATTAAAGGAAACCTTTTAAAAAATAAATAAACCAATTAAGTTGCTTTATGGTACTAGATATATAATGTAATCTATATTTAATTGAACTCAGTTTAATGTCAATAGGATCTCAACTCAAGTCCATGAGGGAAGCACCCTCAAACTGGAGTACTAGTGTGACATTTGCTCTCCTGATTTGCATTAATGCTAACTTGCATATGGATTATATTCTTTGGTATTTACTCTTTTTTTTTTATTATTATAAATTAATTTTTATTGGTGTTCAATTTACCAACATACAGAATAACACCCAGTGCTCATCCCATCAAGTGTACCCCTCAGTGCCCATCATCCATTCACCCCCACCCCCCACCCTCCTCCCCCTCCACCACCCCTAGTTCATTTCCCAGAGTTAGAAGTCTTTATGTTCTGTCTCCCTTTCTGATATTTCTCACACATTTCTTCTCCCTTCCCTTATATTCCCTTTCGCTATTATTCATATTCCCCAAATGAATGAGAACATACACTGTTTGTCTTTCTCCGGTTACTGTGGCCAAGTTCAAAAAGGGTGTTGCCTGAGTTCTTTGGGATTTTGATGGAGTCTTGTCTCACATTTAGATCTTTCATCTATTTTGAGTTTATCTTTGTGTATGGTGCAAGAGAGTGGTCCAGTTTCATTCTTCTGCATGTGGATGTCCAATTTTCCCAGCACCATTTATTGAAGAGACTGTCTTTCTTCTAGTGGATCGTCTTTCCTCCTTTATCGTATATTAGTTGAGCATAAAGTTCAGGGTCCACTTCTGGGTTCTCTGTTCTGTTCCATTGATCTATATGTCTGTTTTTGTGCCAGTACCACACTGTCTTGATGAACACAGCTTTGTAGTACAACCTGAAATCTGGCATTGTGATGCCCCCAGATATGGTTTTCTTTTTTTAAAATTCCCCTGGCTGTTTGGGGTCTTTTCTGATTCCACACAAATCTTAAAATAATTTGTTCTAAGTCTCTGAAGAAAGTC